TTTTTTGGTGATTGAACCTAGTAAGATAATATTCCTTATATAGAATACTATACCCGAAAAGGAGGATATAATCTTACTCTATATTGGGTACCATAGTATCCCCAAATAAAATACTACTCAGCTCATGTTACAAGGGTCAACCTGAGGCCCAGCCTCATCGGCCCCTTGGCCCGACAGGACGACTTTCACCTTCTCCCGCACCTGCAGGGCTTTGAAAGGGTTCAAACCCTTTAGGTCCATGTAGGTATATGGTATATACTTAGGGCCCAAAGGGGTTCCCATATACCTACTTTAAGGCCCAAGTATACCCCATATAGCTACATGGACCCTTTGGGAAAGCTATGGGGGTCAAGAGTTTAAGGGTTGAGGGTTAAGGGTTAAGGGTTGAGGGCCTTACTGGCTTAGGGTTGCGAGGGCTAAGGGTTTAGGGCTACAGCTTTAGGGTTCCAGGCTAAGGGTTAATATAAGTTGTTCAGGCTTCATGTCCTGAGATTTGGGCAGATTTTGAGCGGGGTTTTGCGTTTTGCCTTGCCTTTCTTTACCATATACAAATGCTGTTTATTCCGGCCTTGGGGGTTTGGGGTTCAGGGTTTAGGGAGTTAGGGCTCATGGTTTGACATGTTTTGGACAAATAAGAGGTACCTTTCTGGGAGCCGTACGATGATGATTATACACTATTCTGGTATTTGTCGGCGTCCCCCATTGTTGAACACCTCGGGTGGCATAGCGATATCAAGACTATAGGGATTAGGGTAGCTTGCATGACGATAAGTTCCTTATGCCTTGGGAAATGTGATTCTAGTATACTATAAGGTTCTGTAGGTCTGTAACATCAACGTAAGGCCCAGCAGATTCTCGAGAATTAGAGACTACGGGTTTTGGTGCTGAGAGCTTTGGGTTCAGAATTTGGGCTCACGCGTTGGAGTTTAATTGGTCTTGGAAATAATTTACCCTAAACCCTGAACCCTATAACCCTATAACCCTATAACCCAAAACCCAAAACCCCAAACCCTAAACCCTGAACCCTAAACCCTGAACCCTATAACTCTAAGCCGATTAACAGACTCTGAAAACCCTGAGGGGATGGAGAAGCCTACACAAGACTGGGTTGCTGTTAAGGAACTTAAATTAAGTTACCAGAATGGGTATATATATATATAGTAAATAATAGGCTTTCCCCAATATAGTAACTTAATTTAAGGTCCTTAACAGCAACCCAGAAGAATCAGCAAAGTGGCAGCTCATGGTTTGGGATCTAAGACCCTGAACCCTTTGAGGGTTTAGGGTTCAGGGTTAAGGGTTTAGGGAACTTACCGGGCTTGTGTAGGGAATGAGGGAATATGTCATACAGGCAGTCTATGCAGCTATCTTGTTTTGCTGGATCTGGCGATCCCGTCGGGATGTGTTAAGATCCCCTCCAATCAGACAAAGGTTTCTTCTGGGAATCTGCTGCACTGTGTGGTCTAGGCTGCCTCCTGTCTTTCCTGAGTTGCTTTCGGGGCTAATCTCCCGATACAACAGACCTTTCGGTAAACATTGATCAGGTCAATTGCAGTCTGCTTTGGGAAAAGGGCGGGGATGTATGACAACCCTAAACCCTAAACCCTAAACCCTATAAACCCTAAACCGGTGTATGACAAGTCCCGGCACTGGGGTGGACAACCGCATCTGGTCTACCACGACATGCTTCTCAGAGACGAAAACAGTAGTGCCACCTGTGTGTGGATAATTGCCCTCAGGGTCCAAGGACCCTAATAACAGGGCTTTAGGGCCCAAATACCACTAACACTATAGTATTTGGGCCCCAAAACCCCCCTAAACCCCAAACCCATTTGGGCCCTAAAACCCTAAACACCCCTAAACCCTAAATCTATTTGGGCCCTAAAGCCCTGTTTTTTTCCGTCCTTGGACCCTTAGGGTTCGGGATGACGGAATGCGCCACAAGCCATCCCGCAGCGCTGTATTCACTGCTTGCCTGCCAATGGGTTTGGGGTTTAGGGTTTAGGGTTGAGGGTTTAGGGTTTAGGGTTGAGGGTTTAGGGTTAAGGGTTTATGGTTTCTTGGGCGTAACTGACGCGCGGCCCCTCTGATGTTCAGAGCGTGCTCGCAGTTTGGTTTTCTGTTATTACCAGTATTATTGTCATGACTATTATAACTATTATTGTTACTGTTTTTGCTACTACTATTACTACTAGCATCAGTTGTTAGGCCCCCGGCATTCCAGGAGAGGACACGCAACCTGTGAGGCCTGGCAGTTGGTGCATTTGCCACAGCGAGCATCCTGTTTGCGAGCTGGAGTACCCACACTCCCAAAAGCTGCACCTTGTTGCGAGCTGGAACACCCAAACTCCCAAAACCTGCACCTAGGTTCAGGGTATTTCAGAAGCTTGCAAGAATATCCTCCCGAAGGCATTTCAACCTTAACTTTTTTGAAGCCCAGTGGGCTTGTATCCTAGACCCCCAAACCCTACACCGTGAACCCAAATCCTCAGATCCTGAAAATTTTGACCCTAAGCCCTTGTCAAAAGGTTAAGGGTTGAGGGGTCTAGGCTGTGGTAGAAATTAGGGTTTGAGCTGCGGGTTAAGGTTGCGCCAAACACGAATCAACTAAACTGCACGGTCTCAGCTTTTTACCTGCAACTCTCAGCCGCAAACCCTGTATGCCCTACGCCCTAAACTGTAATACGCCGTAACCCTCACCCTGTAAGCCAGCAAGCTCGAATCCCAGTGGACCCAATGAACCTCTATGTACGTATGTTTCGTTCGAGTCTCCATTATGGGGGGAACATCCATAAACCCTCATCCCTAAACCCTATATGTCCGGCATAGCCCTGTAACAAGGTACCTCCAGTAGAAGGAAACGGCATTCTATTTCTGAGGGTCCGAACGCTCAAGGTAATGGGGTATTAGGCCCCAAATAAGTTAATCTGAATGGTATTGGGGAGCTAAAGCCCTATCATTTGGATCCTTGGACCCTTAGGGTATATACCCAAAATAGACAACCCTGAACCCAAACACAGTTTAGTTTAGTCCTGTTGACGTGTTATCTGCCCTTAACCGTAACACGGTCTGGGGGTTTGTGTTTTAGGGTCCTGTTGACGCCGTCTCTGCAAGAAGGTAGGACACAGCACTCTACTCTAAAGCCTACCTGGACCCCAAAAGTATGTAAAACAATGGCCTTTATGGCTATTATTGGGGGTTTTGGGCCATTATTTTACATACTTTAATAGGGGTTTAGGTAGACCCTAAACCCCAACAAGGTTTAGGGGTTCAGGGTTTGGGGTCCTGTTGATGCCTTCTCCGCAAGAAGGTAGAAGGAGACGGCATCCTGTCCGACCATGGGCTCAGACATGGCCCTCACCTGGATGTAGGGTCAAGAGGGTTTAGGCTTTAGGATTTTGCCACACGGTTTTAGGGTTTAGGGTTTAGGGTTTAGGGGTTTAGGGTTTAGGGTTTAGGGTTTCGAGGATGTAAAGGCAGAGGTTAATTATGGTTTAGGGATTTTATCGGGTTTAGGGTTTAGAGGATGTAAGGGTTTAGGTTAGGGTTTTGGGTCTATGTAGGATTTAGGGTCAAGGTCAGGGTTTGGGGTTTAAAGGATTTAAGGGTCTAGGTTAGGTCTGAAGGTTCATATAGGGTTAAAGGTTTACGTTCTGGTTTAGGGTATAGAAACAGGATTTAGGCGAGGGTTTAGGGTTTTTTTAATGGGGTTTGTGGTGGGTAGCGTTTGAGGGTTGAAGGGCTTAAGCGGTTTTAATGGTTCAAGGGTCCAGGGTTTAGTGTTCAGGGAGCTGATTTTCAGTTGATTTTTTGGGATGAAAGTGGTTCTTTGGACATCTTGGGCAGTTTGTGAGATACGTTTGCCGAGGCTTCCCTTGTGTCCGGGGACCACATTGCAAAACCCCAGAACTGAGACACAAATGGCCCAGTCACGACGTCCGGAAGCCGTCTTAGTACCTCTGCGTTGGGAATGCAGATCTTCTCATGCTGTGTGTTGTACTGCTCTGCCACCATGTCGGAAAACTGGAACTCCTCGCACTAAACCCCAATCCCTGAATCAACAACCCTATGGCAAGTCCAAAACACGAAGCCAAGCCTATTCGTGGGTCGACTTTCCATCAAACAAGCCGGCATTTAGGGGTGAGGTCACCAAACGCGAAACACTACACCCTGAACCCATACCCGTAAACCCTAAACTCTACACCCTAAAACCTTAACCGCGAACCCTAAACTGAAAACTACTCTCCTGCCCACACTCTTCCGGCGTATCTTCGAAGCCGATTGAAAATGTCTTCAATCGTGCTTCGCACACCTGGTTCAGGGCTCAGGGTTTAGGGTTTCAGGCCCAGGTTGTGGGGTTTAGGGTTTTAGGGATCCTAAGGTTCTCCCAGCCTGGAACCCCAAACGGAGATGGCCCCTTTCGGGGACAGTGGTGTCCCATGTTAGTTTGGGGGAGCCCAAACCAGTAAATTCCAAACCCGAAATCCACTCAGAACCCAAGACAAATCCTCAAACCCCGCAGTGCACAGGTCCAAAACAAGATGTCCTTAACCCTGAGCCATAAAGTCTGGCCGCGGCACAGAGTTTGGGGCTTATCTAAACCTTATAAACCCTAAATTCTAAACCATACATCCTAAACCCTAAATTCAAAACTTAGGGGGTTGAAGCACCCCAGCCTCTGACAGAAGCGCCACGATGAGTGACGAGTCCAGTCCTCAGGGTGTTCGAGAGCCAGACAGGCACAATATCTAAGGGCTACAACCTCCAAATGGCCCAATCAGGCTTACTAGGGTTCAGGATTGAAGGTTTTTATAGGTTCAGGATTTAAGGTTTTTATAGGTTTAGTAAGGTTTATACAGGGCTAATATTTACAGACTTTAGGGCCAAATGTAGGTATTGCTTGTATATAGTTGGATCCATAGGGTTGGGCTTACAACCTCTTCTTACTGCACGACAAGATCTGCTCACCGCATGCTACACCCGAAATACCCCAAGAACCAAACCTGAGAATACACAGGAGTAAATCATAAGGTTTGAGGGTTAAGGGTTTATGGTCCCCCCCTCAACCCCAAGTCCCTAAAACCTTAAACCCCAGGGTAAAACCCCAAACCAAGCATCCACCAGACAGAAGCACGCCCACAGACACGTCGGAGGCTGTCAGCTGCTGCCGGATCGCCTCCGTGCAGACGGCTCGCATCCTCTCAACCCATTCCTCCTCGCCTGCATTGGGGGTTAGTAGGGAATGAAGGACAGGCAAAGAAATGGAACATGTTTTTTGGAGATTTTGTAGGCGCTACTGGTATCTGCAAAAGGGTTCAGGAATTTGGGTTGAAGGTTGCGGGGGAAGAGGGTGCATGAATATGTTGAGGTACAGCGGTAGACTCGTACCCCATGTTTAACCTTTGTTGGGTTCAGGTGAACATGTAAGTCTACAGAAAGATAGTCCCCCTTAAGTAGATAGACTACGGCTTTGGGTACAGTATAATAAGATCCCCATGTCCCCATATTTATTCTATCTACTTAAGGGGGACCCTAAACCCTAAACCCTAACCCCATATTACAAACTAGGGGGGTAATCAGCAACAGAGGTTGAGGATTTAGAGTTCATGCAGGGCTCAGGGTTCAGGCTCAAGGTCTGGGGTAAATCCCGCACGGCCTGAACTTGTCTCTGTTTTTCCCATGACTTTGCAGAATCATTAGGGCCCAAGGGGCTCAAGTACGCCAATATTAGGGCTTTAGGTCCCACAAAAACCCTTCAGATTACAGTCTCTGTCACCTAAAAGCCTCTATTTGGCTACTTGAACCCTTAGGGACTGAGAACTTCTCAACATTATCCTGTAGACTCCTTTAGAGGGAGCCCACTCTTGCCGTGTAGTGTGGTTGGGGCTTGGGTCTGGAAGAGAATCAAAGATAGCCTGACATGAGGAGGTCTAGCAAGAAGTATAGAAGACTAGGGACCAACATAGCCCATTGTAGGTAATATTTACAGACCATAGGGCCCCATGTAGGTATCGTTTGTATACTTGGATCCCTTGGGGAATGAATGCGAAAAGAATGTACATGAACTGTAGCAGGAATCACAATAAAGTCTCAGAACAGACTCTCGAGGATGAAGATGGATAAGCACCACCCCCTCACCCAGAACGCAGGATGAACAGCAACATCTCCCCATAAGTGTTCTATACCTTGGGCCCTACCTGAACCCCAGAAGTATGTAGAATAATAGCCTTTTGGGCTGTTTTTAAGGGTATGGGGCTATTATTTCACCTACTTTTGGGGTCCAGGTAAACACAAACCATGAGCCCTGAGAAGCCGCCATGTATGGCTTTCTTTACGTACGGGCTTCGAGTCGGCTGCAGTTGAGACAAGCCCTAAGGGTCCAAGGACCCAAATAATGGGTTTTAGGGCCCAAATACCATTAATATTATAGTATTTGGGCCCTAAAATCCTATTATTTGGGTCCTTGAACCCGTAAGGACACACAACACAGAACTTGAAACTGATCGGGAAATGGTTTTGGGTCCTAAACACCAAGCATCCAGTGTAAACAGGGCATCAAAACACATCAAAGAAACTGAAATCCCACGTAGGTAGAACCGGAACATTCTGAAACCACATATGTGTGTCGCCACCGCCCCTATGCTTCACTAACCTTAGAAGGACTATCGGCTGCACGGCCCAGTCACTCAGACTTCCCACGGAAGGAGGGTGCAGCGTCCAGTATGACTGCACATCCAGCTGACCATCTGCAGCTACCACCTGCTCGTTAGGATAACATTATTATGTATTATTTTGTATTCGGCTTATAGAAGTTACACAGGGTCTGGGGTTATGGGTTTAAGGTTTTCGCTTTTGAGATTTGGGTTTGGGGTCTAGTCTAGTCCTTACGGCTTGGGGCGTGTGATGCCTGAGTCTGATACATCGATCACGGGACTGTAAGGGGAAGTTTCTGGGACGCAGCGGACGGATTGGATGAAGGAAAGTTTAACGAAAAGTTGTATTTATCTGGGGCTGGAGTTTGGGTTCAAGGCCCAGGGGAATTTTGCCAATGACAGTTCCCTTTCTTTGATGCATGCGGGGATCCACACTCCAAGGCATGTCAAACCGAGGTGCGGGTGCCGCTCACCCTAAGCGTCCAAGGACCCAAATAATAGGGTTTTAGGGTCCCAATACTATACTATTAATGGTATTTGGGCCCGAAAACCCTATTATTTGAGTCCTTGGACCCTTAGGGTCAATAATTGAGGTTTAGGGTCTAGGGTGTACTCCTACTGTCTGGGTCTCCTGTCCTCATGAAGTGGTGCATAGGTCTGTGGGAGCGTAGATAATTGGATTAGGGTACCAAGGATGACGGTTGAAGGAATACAAGCACAAGGAGTAACACTACTGACCTCCAGCCCCGAACTCTACATCCAGATTCCCTGAACCCTGCAAAACCGGAATGACGGCACTACTCACCCTAGCTAAGCTAACTAATGTTGCGAGGAGCTAGGCTAAAGAAAGCCAGCTCATTGTATGCTTCTACATTACCTCTGAGGATCTACGCCTATAAGCCATGACTATGCCTGCGCTGGAAATCCTAGCAATTGAGGTACTTAGAGCCACGCGGGATTTTTTAGTATGCACCGTGACACCTTCACCGGACTATGCATTTAGATCTGTAACGTAGCCCCAAGGATCCAAATAGCCCAATGTAGACAATATTTGCAGACTTTAGGGCCCAATGTAGCCCTAGGGATCCATGTATGTAAATAATCCCTACATTGGGCCCCAAAGTCTGTAAATATTACCTACATTGGGTCATCTGGATCCCTAGGGTAGGTAATGCTTGTATACTTGAATCCCCAGGGTAGCTTTGTGCCGGCTGGCCACTAAACAGGAGCCCGGCTCGAGCTTCTTGACGCCCTTCCTGCGCTGCGCGCCATTCCACTTCCGGCTGCGTTTAGGGCTCGGATTATTAATAAAGCTTAGGGTGGAGGGTCCCACTATGGGCTATTAGAACTTAAGGGTACCTTAATCTACCCTTCATAGGGTCCTAATAGGGGATTTTACGGTCTAATAGCCCATAGTGGTCAGGGGTTGAAGGGCGCGAAGCTTAGGATTTAGGATTCGGCTTAAGCTGCGGGCAGTTTGCGGGTAGATGAGGGGTGGGTCCCATGTCGAGAGATAACCCAGACTCCTGATTAATCAGCCCCTGAAATTAATAGGGATTATAATGGGGATCCTACTATTAAGGGCAGTCCAAGTGTGCAAGCGCGGAGGTGAGGTTTTGGGCAAGCCAACGGCAACAATAACCTGAACCCCAAACCCCAAAACTCACGAAAACCCTGAACCCTAAACCTCAATCCCTAAACCCTAACCCTTAAACCCTGACCCCTAAACACCCCTGAACCCTAAACCCTGAACCCTAAACCTCAATCCCTAAACCCTAAACCCTTAAATCCTAACCCCTAAATCCTGAACCCTAAACCCCTAAATAACTCCATTCTATTTTCCATTATCCCAATATAACCCCCAAATAAACCATATAATCCCTATATAACCCTTACATAACCCCTATAATCCCTGTAGTTTCCATTTTCTTTTCCATTATCCCAAAAGGAACATCAAAAAGCTGTTCTATCAGGAAGCCAGGCTCAGGATTGTCCGAGGGGCTGGGATGACACCATGCAGAGTGAGCCTTACTGGTCGATTTGCAGTTTAGGGTTTAGGGTTTACGGGTTTAGGGGTTTAGGGTACAGGGGTTGAGGGTTTAGGGGTTTTACGGTTTATGGGTTGAGGTTTTAAGGTTTAGGATTTGATGTTTAAGGTCTAGAGTTCAGGGTTGCAGTTTTACAGGGGTACCTTTTAAGTCCCACCAAAGGGGCTTTTAGGGATGTATAGGACCCTAAACCCTAAACCCTAAACCCTAAACCCTAAACCGGGACCCTCGAGTTGCTAAGGCTTTCAATTAGGCAAAATACTTGTAAAAGGCTACAATAGAACTAGGAAGTGGCTAATGTAGACCCATGATGAATGAACCCCTTCCTTTTAAGGGCCTTAATATGTTGATGCCTATTATAATTCCTACTAAGGGGAAGGGGTTTATTAATCAGGGGTCTGGGTTATTGGTAAGTGAAGAATTACATTCCCAACAACAGGGCCCCTCAAAGTATGTCCCGGAATATACGGCTAGGTGTTTAGGGCTTAGGGCTTAGGCTAGAGCTTGGGGTTTAGGGTTTAGGGCTTAGGTTTCGGAGTTGGGGATCTAGGGTTTCAGGATTAGATTTTGCTCGTTTAGAATGTCATGTTGCTGGAGGATTATCTATGAAATGTAGGGGGGTTTAGGGACCTATATGGATATGGGGATCCGTAGGGGGGTATGCAGGGCATATACCCTTGTAATGGAGAATCAAACGGACAAATCTAGATGATATTGCAGCCCCCTGAATAACCAACAATAGTATTTCGAGGTCTGCATGAGGCAAGCGATTCTAAACTCTTGTACGAAATTTCGGGGGGGGCACAGTACAGTTAGTTAACCTGATTTGGATTCTTCAGCGCCTACACTGGGCCCAAAGAGGATCTACTCCCTGAAACCTCAGCTCAACCCTAAACCCTAAACCCTAAAAGTATGTAAAATAATAGCCTAAACCCATAATGATGGCCATAAAGGCCATTATTTTACATACTCTTGGGGTCCAGGTAGCTGGTGATGAAGTCCAATTGGGTCAATGGATGTGTCGATGCCGCCACAGGATAACAGCGCCTGCAGCTCCAACACGCTTCAGCTCCGCCAAACTGGGTTGCGGTTGGGGAATTTACATCAAGTTGGCATGGCCATAATATGGGTATAAATGGCTATAAAACGAAAGGAACCCTTATTGTAGTAACTAACTTTCCGACCCAACAAAGTTTCAGAGCAAGGTTGATAGTTCAGGGCGCAAGGGTTTGGGGTTCAGAGCTCTGGTGCAAGGATTACCCTTTGCGCCCTCTTCAGTGGCCTGTGGACCTCCCTCCCCGCCCCACACACATACTATATAACACGAAGTGCAAAGAGAAGCCCTGCAAGGACGACATCGCGGTGAAAAAGCGACCCCTAGTACAAGGGGCTCCATTTTAGGCGGAGAACACACTCCCACCTGCGCAGCCCTGAGCTCTTAACTGTCATCTGAACCCTAAAGGGTCCACATATACAGCTATTAGGGAATTGGGACCCATAATTCCCTCTACAGTAGGGTATTTTGGGGCCTAATTCCCTAATTCTTGTATATGTGGACCCTTTTGGAACCCAAACTCCTATGGTGTTTAGGGATAAGATCCCAAAAGGTGCCTCTCTTTTCGTTTAGGGGTGAGCGTTCAGGCTTTGGACTTAAACCCAAACTGAACCCTTAGACCTACCCTGTAAACCCCAAACACCTAAAGCCCTAAACTCAAATCCTTGCAACCCTTTACATCCTCTGTACAACCCCAAATATACCTTTGAAAGGATCCCAACCCAAACCCTCCTACGTGGTTCTTTTTCGGGTAGTATATGATAATCCCTTACCATAACGCCATAACAGCCGCAGAACAGAACTACATAGGAGCTCTTGGGTAAACCCTCAACACCCAAAACCCTAAACCCCTTTGAAAGATTCCCTAAGCCCTAAACCCCTAAACCCCTAAACTCCTAAACCCTAAACCCAAGCCTTCAAACCCTAAACCCCTTTGAAAGAATCCCTAAGCCCTCAACCCCCAAGCCTGCGTGTTCGATGCAAAGCGAAAGCCCTCGGCCACGGGAGCGTAGTAGAGTGGCTTCACCTGTGTGGCTGTAGCTTTAGGGTTCAGGGTTTGGGGTTTAGGGGTTTAGGGTTTAGGTTTTGGGGCTTAGGGGTTTAGGGTTTAGGGAATAGGTTTTGGGGCTTGGGGTTTAGGGTTTAGGCTGCTATGGTGAAGTAGGGACTCCTTTGAAAGGGATGGGTTTGGGTTGTAGGGCTTTAAGGTAAGACAGGGGCTCCATCGGATGGAATATCAGAATGTTATAGAGCCTAGGTAGGGGGTTTAAAACCTGAAGGTTTAGGCTTTTTTTTGGGGCTGAGGGCTGGTGGTTAACGGAAGCTTTAGGGTTTATCAGATTTGGACCCTGCCCTCCATCTACAGTCAAGACCTCTAAATTAAGGTTTAGGGGTTAGGATTTAGGGTTTAGGGCCATTAACCTCAATATTTCAGCTAGAGACGCGCAACTGGGTTGCTGTAAACAAAGCATCAGGCAGGTTACCATCAGAAGGCCGCTTGAGAAACTCACGACACGTTCTCGTCGTCGTAATGTGATTGAAGCTGTCGATTTGCCCTGGAAGCCTTCCCACCCTCAGACAAAAAATATTGGGGGGGTCTACAACCCTAAGGGTCCAAGGACCCCATAATAGGGCTTTCGGTCCCAAATACCATTCAGATAACGGTATTTGGGCCCTCATACCCCATTATTTGAATCCTCGGACCCTTATATAGTCCCCATATATCCCTATATATCCCCCTACAGCCCGTTTAAAGGGGCCCTATCATTTGACTCCTTGGACCCTTGGGGCAACTGAATGGCTTACAGCTTAGGGGTGTCAGCACGCCACACGTACGTAAGTTCCTTAAAGAACCAGGTCACACCCAAGTATTGTAGTGCCTTAACAGCAACTCTCTAACCCTAAGCCTGCCACCACAACAATTCTAAACTTTGAACCCTTAACATAATTCTTAGCTTCTTTTTCCTCTTCCATCGCCTACTAACCAGCAAGCCGGGAACCCTTTAAACCCTAAACCCTGAAACCTAAACCGTAAACCGCCGTGTCGCCCCAAAACGGTCTCTAGCCAGAAGCAGCTCGCCCCGGCCCTGGCCATTCACGGAGTGGGACTTGGGATTTTAGGGTTGAGGGTTGCTTAACTTATTGGGGGTTTATATATCCCCTTAATAATCCTAGGGTTTAGGGTTTAGGTCTATCTAAACTCCTAGCTTCCCCCTTAATTATCCCTATAATACTCCCCTAAACATTCCTCTATACAGCCCCCCTTTAAGGAGTTTAGACTATAGGTCGTTTAGGTCGTTTTAAGCGACCCCTAAACCCTAAACCCTAAACCCCAAACCCCAAACCCTAAACCCTAAACCCCAAACCCTAAACCCTAAACCCGGAGGAAGTATAGAAATCATTATATATACTCATTACTTAAGGTGCCACCTAAAGGCTCCGGGGACTATGGGTTTAGGGTTTAGGGCT